TTTAAAAGTAAGCTGACAATGTGAGTTGAATTCCCAAGTTAGTAATCAGCTTGCAACCTGATGTGGATGGTACCATAATGCACATGTCAAAGACTTTCAAACATCATAATAAAAGTCTTTCCCAACTCTTAACCTATAATTTATAGCCATATTAATTAATTGTTTCTCCTTGTTTTTACTATTGCATGTAGAATTTTTGGCCTTGAATATGAAATTGCTATTTTTCAGAACAGTTTCCTATGTCCAAATCAGTGAATTTGGAGTGTGGTATTACGGCTTTTGCTTTCTCATTTTTATTACAAGACAAGAAACCTTTGTATAGCTTTAACTGTTTTGTAGGTGTTTACAATTGTGGTCGGTTACTCCTTGAATTTTGTTCAATATAAAACTATCATTTTCTGAATCACTTCCAGAGGCTTGAAAAACAGATTCCTGATTCTTCTAGTTGGTGTTCAGCAAATCTGCTATACTCTAAATCTACAGACAGCAAAACAAGCCTAGGCCACACCCTTATTTCTTGCTGTTACATGTGCATTTCTAGTTTACTTACAGGAGTCTCTGGACCTAAAAGTATATGTGGCTTGCTTAGACTTGCTGAATGAAATAGGAAATTAACTGCTTGCTGAGGTTGTAAAGAGGGAGGGTTTGCTTATCATTGTGTATATATACACAGATGGGTTTTAGACCAAAATATACTCTTTTTTTTTCTGGCCAGGATACTGATTTCTGTCAGTTTCAGAACTAGCTTGATGCCGCCAGTAGCCTAGCCGGGCTTTTTTAAAATTCTTGCTTCCCATCTGTAGCACTTTGGGAAGGTGGTGGAACCTTAAGGTTCCTCTCTCTTTCTTCCATTCCACATCTTGCTCTAAAACAGTTCTACCTTTTAAGTTGATTCTTTGGTTCCTCAGGGGTGAGGCTCTACTCACCCAGCAATACAATGAAAACAAAAACAAAAGCAAAGCTGCTGTGACGTTTGCCCTCTAGGGATGTAAAGCCTGAGTGGAGAAGACCAGTGGATGAAGCTGTAGCACAGGATTCTCAGAAGGTGGAAGTGAGTCTTTGATAGAAACTCTTAGGTGTTGTGGGCTCCACTAAGACCAACCAATAATTGAACAACTGTAGCCAAAAGCATTAGACTATCATGTAAATGTTCACTTACAAAGCATTGTTTCTGATTCCCAGAGTTTTAAAATGGTATTTGTTTCATTCACATATGGAGCTTTTAACTACAAGGGGCTGTCCAGGATAAAACCTGATTCTCCATCTTAATAAGAGTTACTAGGTAATGTTTTCTAGAAACAACTGCGGGAAGATGACAGTCTTAGAGATTTAAAGGTTTTAACCCATTAATTCCAAGAGATTAATGTCTTGAAGACCGTCAGATTGAAATGACTTTGTTCAAAGGGAAGTTTTTAAAATTTTGTTTGATTTGTTTTTTACTTTCTAACTCTTTTTTTAATGTGTATGAATATTTTTGCCTGCATGTCTTTCAGTGCCTTGAAGGGAGGGAGACACAGGGCACTGGATCTCTGAGAACTGGAAAAGGTTGTAAGCCACCATTAGGGTATGAGGGGCTGGAAATCGAACCCAGGTCCTCTGGAAGAGCAGCTGTTACTGTTAACCACTGAACCATTTCTCACCTAATGTGATGGCCCAGGCAGAGGCACATCATCTGACTTTCTTACTGGATGGTGCCCAGGCTTGAGAAAGATTAATTTGAAAGCTACAATAGCTGATAGGTTAATGACATTACCTCTCATTGCTCTGTAGGTGTGTGCTAAGTTTGGAACTGATTTTCCCTGTAGTTGCTTGTGGAAGATTGTCAGATGCCTGTCAGAGTGATAATGTTTGGCTGATTTGTCTTGGTATAGACTCATGCCAAGCAGAACTAACCATTTTATGATCCCATGGTTCGGTGGTGGACTGCCCCACAGCTCAGCCGTGTGAGTCTTAACTCTTGATTGCATTACTTCTGTCTACGTGTCCTTTTTCATCCTTTGATTCACTTAGTATTCTCAATGTTTCCATCTCAAACTTGGCCCAAGTTGCTCTATCTGGATGGCTGAGTCATGAACTCATCCAGCCCCTTCTTTTCAAACATAGGTGGGTGTATTCTACTTTGAGACCCACTTCCTGCTTATTCTCTAAACCTTTATTAATTTAATGGGTCTCACTCCTTATAGTGTTAAATGGAAGCAGTTAGATGAAAAGAACTTGGCGTTGGGTATATTTCTGCTGGATTTCCTGCCCCCATTCTTGATTCCCACAACTATTTTGCAAGACATTTCTTTGTAAATGAAAAAAAAATGTAAGGCTGATGGAATTGTTTTCTTCTCTACATCAAATGGTCATTAGTTTTTCCATTTACTCTTCAGCCCACAATGATGTAGGTTCTGATCCAAGGCTTCCACAGGAACTCCTCCTGTTGGGATTACAATGACTTTCCAGTTGTTATATCCAGGGAACATTTTTTAATGATTAACTCACTGGGGACTCTCTTCTGCACACTGCCTCAACAATCACATCATGCCTCATTGTTTTCAGGACTGTAGTTTGTACTGGATCCACTTCTCTGAGCTACCCTCCCACCCCACCCCTATCTTTCTAGTTCATATTCTTGCTCTGGTATGTATGTATATATGTATTCACACCCTCCTTAGTGGATGTGTTCTTTGCACAAGCTCTCTCCGTAGACAGGGGAAAGTTTCCATTTCCCTGACATCAATTTGAGATAGATTATTTACATAGCGGGGAATGTGACTGCTAACAAAAATGCTTCAAATCAAAGTGTGTGAGGCTATGCATGTGCAGCCTCTTTCTGCAGACCCCTAATCCTGTCTTGACCCTGCCCTACTCTGCTCCTTTCTTTTCTCTCCATTGCTGTCTATCCAAACCAGAACGGGAAAGTCCTGTTTGGCTCCTCTTCCCAGCCCCTCCCAATCCATGCAGTATGTAGGAGCTACTGTTTTACTGAATCCTGCATCCTGAGGTGGTTTTTCTCACGGACATGGAAGATCTAGAGTAGGCTGACAGTATCTCTCACCTGGATTCCTGACAGAGTCCCCTCTAGTCTGCCCCTTTCCTTGTTTCTCAGAAACCTTTTAAGGCTCAAATGCACAGTATGCCACCATCAGCTTGGAGCTTAAAACCCTTCCCTTGGTGTTCACTGCTCTCAGGAGAAGCTGGAAGTCCCTCAGAAAACACTGAAAGCTCTCTAGACCTTGTTTCTGTCTGACTTACCAGGTCTTTTTGTAGCTGTCGTTTCTTTTGTAACGGCCGTCAGGTTCTGTTACTTTGTAAAGGCCGGCCGGTTCTGTTGCTCCGGTCGGCAGGTCAGGGTCTAGCAAGAGAGAAAGTGGGGACGGAGGAAGGGGAAAAAAGGGGCTAGAGACGCAAAAGATAGATACAAGCCAGAGTCTGGTGGAGTCTCTTCAAGTCTTCTTTATTCTCCTCTCTTCTTACTATATTCTCACTCCTTCAGTCTCCTCTACTCCTCTACTTCTTCCTACTACTTACTACCTCCTACTTTCTACCTCTACCTCCCTAGAAAGGAAATCCGGGTATTTATACCCTTTACCACGTGACTTGCCCTCGTGGACAAGCTCAACTGAAGCCACTACGTCACGTGCCTTGTAGCCATGGATACCAGGAGCACCTGGCAGCTGGGGGCACTAAACAGTGTAACAAGATGTTTATCAGAGTGCGCTCAGCTATTGCAGGCTGTTGAAACAAGTCTCTTGTCAGGGTATATGGCTCGAGATGGCTGTAAAGATGATAGCCACTTTCGGCTAAGAGTCGGCTCCCAACACTTTTCACCCCAGCCTTGCTTGCATCTTGTACAAAACTTGTGATTTTTGTAAACAGTTGTGGCTAATTTTTTTCTCCTTACTTCAATACTCCATGCCAGTTTTCTCTTCAGGAAAACTTCTACGACCCCATAGGGTAGATTGGGTGTTTATCTTCAGTTGTCCAGCATCCCTGGTGGTTCTGTCACTGTATTCAATATTGCCCCATGGTTGTTTATGCATCCTCATAGTTGGGAATGGATAAGAACTATGAATTCCCAGATTTTGCACATAGTAAACTCCTAGTGAATGTTTGTTGAATGAATCAATGACTGCCCCAACATTATCTTTCAAGTAAGTTACAAAGCTGGTACAAACAGTTTTCTATTAAAAAATGAATAAATATTTTTTCCTCAAACCAGTGTTCATTTTACCATTATAATTTGCACATTGGGATTTTAAAGTCCTCAAGAAATTGAAGTTTAAGGAGCCAATTTCTGTTGCAGGATTCCCTTTCAAAGTTTTAAAACTAGTTTTAATTTTCAGTAGTACTTTCTCGGGATTCAGTAGTTTTAAAAGATATTTTGGTAAAGAATCTTGTTCACATTTTTAACTTCTATTTGCTGTTTCTTCTACATCAAGATGTCAATCTTGTTAGCTTATTATGGCCTAGATTTTCTTTTTGCAGATTTGTAAATATAAAACTATTATTCCTTACCTTTTGACTTGTAAAATGGTATTTCAAGTGGAGGCAACAGAGTGGAGATGTAGCTTAGTGGCAGAGTGCTTGTGTTGCTTGCATGAGGCCCTGGATTCACCCCAAGCACTGTAGAATACAGTATTAATGGTAATCATTGAACTTCTCCGCTTTTCCAGAAGTATGTATTAGCAAACAGAGCTAATTAGCACCCTGCTTGAATGAACAGGCAGAGAGGTACTTGGCAGAGGAAGCTACTTGATGAGTAGAGAAAATAATCCTGGCTGCTCACTGGTGAGACCCAGGGCACTCCACAACAGCCTGTATGCCCAGATGTCTCCCTCAGGCAGATGTCTCAAGTTCCCCAGTTATCATTTCTCTGGAACTCTTACAGGCCACTCCCCTTGATGCAATATCTGGGTTTGGGCAAAAAGGAGGTGCTGCAAAGTCCGCCCATTTCGAGCATTTGGGCCAGCTCCCCTTTTCAGAACTATTCAAGCTTCATTGCAGCCCTGACCTCAGCACCAACATCTGCTTCCTGAATTGAAATGGCTAGGATGGACAGAAAGCTTCATTCTGGAAGAAAACAGTGGTTCAGGGCAAGCTAAGTTTGTGAGAGACCCTTGCACCAAACAGGCCAGCACAATGGTTTTACAAGGAGTCTGGACAAGTTCGATCATGTGGTTTTTCTACAGTATGACCTCAGGTTTTCTCACTGGTAAGAATGAATTTAAATACAACTGATGGTTTGGGCCTTGAATATAGGTTAAGGAAGGTGGCAATTTCCTGGGTTTGGGGTTGAATTAAAATGTCTATTTTTTTTAAGACCTTTTTATCTCCATTTTTCGCATCTTAAATGTCTGCATTCTACTTGGAAAATTTTCTCCTAATATCCACAGAACAATCCAGAAGGATGTCACTAATATAGTCTGCCGAGTTCTGTGGATTTTGCTATTCATCTGGTATTTGGAGGGTTATGGTATGGTTATTGCAGTTATTTTCTAGGTGCCACTTAAAATGATTAAAAATTCTGACAAATACAGAAAGACATACGCTTCATATTGGGCATGAGATTTATAAAAATTAGATTTCTCTCTTGGTCATTATAGAAAAAGTTACTTCATACCATTTAAAAATAGATTGGGTTCGAGGCATTTTCTCTCCCGGTAAGATTGCATAATTTTCTGTTTTACACCTGGCTCCTTGTAATTACCTTCTTTATTGTTCCCAAACTGCAGCTCCTTCCTTACCTGTTAGTGTTTCTTTAAGTCAAACTGCATTTAAGAGAAATTTCTAGTTTAAATACTCCAATGTATTGGTTGGTTTGTGGTGTCAAACTGGTTGATTTGTGTTGTCAGTGGGAGCCTTGAGTACTAAGGCAGCTTTTCCAAGTGTAGCTGACATAGAAATGCATGGTATTCCTGGCCCCCAAACCTTCAGCGTTCCAAAGGTTCAGCAAACACTGTCCACAGTGCCTACTTGTCGTCTGTGTGTGCGGGGCTCATCCTGGAGTTATTTGAGCCTATGTCTCCTTTCAGAAAACAAATACAGATTGCAGGCTACTTGCTGTCTTCACAGTCGACACTCTATTACTGCTTTCTTGCCTTAGCCTTTGTTGTTAGAATTTTCCCATGGGGCTGTTGAAATGGTTCAGTAGGTAAAGGTTGCCAAGCCTGACAACTGAGTTTAATCCTCAGAACCCAAATGGTGGAAGGAGAGAACCAGCTTCCTCAAGTTATCCTCTGACCTCCCCAAACTTGTCATAGCAAATGTGTCATTGTCTGCCAGCCCATCTGTCCTCCTGCTATGCCCCACCACGTGTCTGTGTCTGTGTCTGTGTCTGTGTATGTTTGTGACTTACTAGTTTAGCCACTGGTCATGTAACTTCATTCCCATCTGTGAAATGTTTATAATAACCATCTTAAAGTCTTAAGGGGTTAAAATAAGACAATACAAGTAAGTTTTAAAAAACTTCAATACTCCTGTCCCAAATGCTAATTATTCTTATCTTTTTGTATTGCAAATGGTGGTGTCAGAAAATACTTGCTTTAGCTAAGGTTGCCTTCATGCAGTTTTGAACATTTGCTCAGGACTGTGTAGGCAAACTTTGCAAATGCAGAGTGTATATCTATTGCTTAGTAGATCACTTGGTAGATGAGTAAAGTTGTCTTGCTTCATCCTTTCCAAATAATAGTGGGTGATTTAGGAAACTGCTTCCTAATACTAATAACAATGACAGTCACAAGTGCCTGTCTCTTACTTCCTCCCCACCCCCTCTCCTTTCTCTCCTAAGATTGGACCTATGACCTAATGCATTTTGAGGCAATTCCTCTACTATTGAACCTATTCTCAGAGCCCTTATCCCTGCTTAGTTTGTTTTGTAACTTTCCATGTTTCAGTTGGGGTCTCCCTACATTTTTCCAAGCTGCCTTGAGCTTGCTCTGTAACCCAGGCAGGACTTGAATTTGCAATCCTCCTGCTTCACCCTCCCATGTAGATAGAATTCTAAACCTGTGCCATTAGACATGGCTCACATTTCTTCAGACACATCAATCTGCAAGGCAGGTCTGATGATCCCCATTTTACACCAGGAATCAAGACTCAGAATGGTTCAGTTCTTTGTCTAGGTTTTTGATCAATGTGAGGATTGGAGTTTGACTTTTGATTTAGCAGCTCTGTACAAAAGCTCCATGTGCTTTGTCCTTCTGTGGAGAAGGAGGGGAGACATAGATGCAGGCTAGGAAAAAGGGATGACAGAGTGAAGGGATTAGGGGGATGGACGCCTTTCCCAATGCATTTACCTTAAAGGCTGTTGGAGGAAAGGATTGCAGAAGGGGAACCAAACAGCAGAGGTGACCAGGGAGGGTGTCCAAGTAGGAAGAGATGCAGTAATTTCTGCCTGGAAAGTTTGCCCAGTGGCTTAGTGAGGACTGCCTTCCTGCTGCTTCCCTTGCAGCTCAAATTACAGGAGACGGATGTTTAGGAGACATGAATCGTAGAACAAGTAAAAGGACCTCGATGGCTGAGAGATTAGGAGAACCACCAGGCCTAAGGTAGTTCCTTATGTGAGTCAAGATGTGTGTGGCTTGCTTGCCCAGTGAGCTTAGTGTTTCTGAGCTCCTTTTCTGTGATAGGCTCTGAGCTGAGTGCTTATTAGAGATGAACAAGACCATCCCCCATTTACAGCAAACATAAAGCCTGCTAGAAAATACACTGCGACCTTCAACATTTGGGGGTTTAACGTATTTCAAACTATTCTTTATCTACCAGAAGTAAGCTCTAGATCAGTGTTCCAGTCTCAAATGAACACTGGAACCCCTTGGGGACCTGGGAAGCTTTTTACAAATATAATTGCCAAGGCTGCATGGCCATAGATTCTAAATTCATCTGGGGAACCGCCTAGGATTTTAGAACTCCCTGGGTGGGGCTCTTTAGAGAAGTGGATGCTTACAAGACTGGGCATGGAAAAGGCAAGATGAGACAGGAGCAATGTGTGGCAAGCAATGAAGTGCTTCAGCTAGGATGGGGGCCCAAAAGTAGTAGAGCATCTTGGGCTGAATCTTGAAATGGAAACTTTGTTTATGGAAGAATTCACAAAATCCAAATTGAGTCTGGGTTTTTTTTGTGGTCATTGACCCACAGCGTCTCTTAGTTTTGATAACTGCATCATGTTTACATAAGATGCTAACATTGGTTGGCGTTTACAGGAACTTTGGAATTTGTAGATCTAGAGTTATTATTTTAAAGTCTGTTGACAAGGCTGGGTGTGGTGATGCATGCATTTAATGCCTAAGCAAAGGCCGGTGGATCTCTGATTTTGAAGCCAGAAAAGGCTGTATAGATCCTGTCTCAAAAAAATAAAAATAAAAATAAAAATAAAACAACCCCAAACCAAAGCAGATTGACAAGAGGAAAATGGAGAAGAATAGGAGGGGGTGACAAGAGCCAAAGAGACACAAGAATCAACCTGAAAGAATTTCTATAGGCCAACACTGAACATCTGAATAACAAAACAATAGTAGCATTGGGTTTTAACCATAAAATGAAATCACTACCTAGGAGTCTATTCATCTAGGTAAATCCGTGGAAACATAACCAACAGTGGAGGAGGACTGGCTCTTCCTTACAGGAGAATCCCAGTTCAGTTAAAAGAGACTCAGATTATAGCTATAGTAATTGCTGAAAGAACTACCTACCAACACCTGTCAAAATTAATGTATGAAAGGTTGAAAGGAATTTACATAGTCTCACATGTCTCCCCCAGCACGTTTACTAACTTTAACAGGTAAATTGGTAGCTTTACAGATCAAGATTAACATCTGATAATTACACATATTGATACTGTGTCCTGTGCATACAAGTCAAAAGCGTATAAACATTTTGCAATCCATTGCTTGGACTTGCCCTGGTTTGAAGCACGTAGAAAGATGGAAATGAGGGCCCACAGCAAGAATTCATAGTAGACTTTGCCTGAGAGTTTTGGTGTACCTCATGGAAGAGGGCCAAGTGGAGCATACTAGGCCTTGGGCACACGTACACCTTTGTTGCGTCAAGGTACACAGCAACACCCTCAGCTGGAGAAATTAATCACAGCCCCAGACCAGACTCCACTCATTGTGTTTGGACTTCATAGGTAAAGCAGTGGTTGACGGACATTATTTAGAATGTGGGGAACCAGGAGTCTTACTATGAGGTCAAAGGTCAAGAGATGTTGCAGCCTGTCTAGAACCAGCAGCTTACTAATGCTGACCTGAACATCCCCTTCCTGAGAGGTGCAGTCCCATAGCAGAAACCTGTCTCCAGCTAACATGATGAAAGGGACAACCTAAGACTGGTCTCGCCGGGCAGTGGTGGCGCATGCCTTTAATCCCAGCACTTGGGAGGCAGAGGCAGGCGGATTTCTGAGTTCGAGGCCAGCCTGGTCTACAGAGGGAGTTCCAGGACAGCCAGGGCTACACAGAGAAACCCTGTCTCGAAAAACCAAAAAAAAAAAAAAAAAAAAAAAAAAGACTGGTCTCCCCACCACCCCTGGGAAACTAGGATGGGGTTGGGGCAGAAACCTTCATCAGTCTTTGAGAAATTGGTGAAGGATACTAAAGGAACTGGACTTGGTGCACCACTCTGCCACTCTCGGGATGTAACGGCAAAGACATCCAATAAAAACAAGCAACCCAGAGTAACTTCACTGATGTCTGGTGAAAACAGACAGACTCAAACTGAGACCAAATCTATAAAACAGCCAACCCAGTGCTTCTCAGAAATGTCAAGGTCATAAAAGACAAAGACAGATTGAGAACAGGCTGGGGGAGACTAACTAGGCATGACAGCTCCACGGGGAATCCTGGACTAGTTCCTGGAAGAAAGGAAAGCATGAAGGGAGAAAAGTGGGGGAACCGGTTAGAGACTGACGACACTGACCAGAGCCAGTGACCCTGCAGTTCTCTCTCCGTCTTACTTCACAGTCACGCTGTGGCTGTGGATTCATGGAAGGACAGATGAGGGTATACAGAAGCTCCCTCTGCTATTGGGCAGCTCCTGTGAAATAATTTCCAAATAAACTGTCTGGTGAGTTACAGGAGCACCTCATGTTGTTAGCATTACTGTGTCCCTTCTGGAGGCTGGAGGGGCCAATCTATTTCCTTGCCATCCTGAGCCTCTAGCAGTCCTTGGGTTCCATGCTCGCAGCCCCCTTTCATTATCTACATGATACCCTTTGTG